ATAACAAAACCCTAATACCATAAATGAGAAAGTGAGAGATTAAACAATAAAATAGACAACATATGATGACTTAGATCAGTAATGGAGGGGAAGCCACACATTTTTCCTCCTTTTTTGCTATTGCCTCACATTAATTGAGATGGCTTCTTCCACCGGCTAATATGGGTTTTCACAGTGAGTTGCTAGGTAAGAAGAGGGTATTTTCAAAAGACTAGCTCAAATACAACCCATACATGTATATAATAATGGGTTTTTCGGGTTGAGCCACACTATTTTTGGTTTTTTGGGTTAAAGCACGTGGGGAGAACTTCATGGGGCTAGGCTACATGAGGGTTGACATATTTTTGGTTTTTTGGAGTCTTGACATATTTTTTCCAAGTTCTAGAGTAAAATTATAGTTTTGCTTTCCCTCCAAAAATAATTGTGAGAGTTTTGGAAATGAGACATCACGTGATAACAAATACTAACCACTATTAATTTGCATACTTTCAAACATAACAAAATTACAAAGATGACATTCGGATTTCCACGTAACATGGAAGGAATTCAAGAAAGAAAATGATCCGTAAAGTGAAAAATGGGACAATTTAAGGTCAGCCTCTACTTGAATCGAATCCTTCTTTTGATTTAAGTAAACTTTACAATATATTGGGAGGTTTTGACATTTTTTGAGAATTAGACTATTATGTCTTAAAGTTAGTAAATAATATCCCTTTTAGTTCTTTAAAAATTAAACATAAGAAGGATAAGCAAAAATTATGATCCGCGGTTAAGATACTAATTTAATTTTACCTTTACGGTGAGTAGAACGAAGTGTTTGATAAAATTTTTGAATCAAATTGTATCTCTCTCAAAAGCTTGAAGAGCATAAAGCGTGCGATGCAATCTCTATCCACTTCGATAAAATTTCACCCCCATCAAATTCCCAAATTTTAGGGCGTGTTTGGCAATCACCCAAAAACAGAGTCATGTTCACCCCTAGCCCAATTCTACTATAAACCAGTTTAGTGTTAGATTACCACCTCCGTGATCCAACATTAACTAATTTTATGACCTCTTTTTTGCCTAAGAAAAACTTGGCAATATTCAGTCATGACTCAATTTTAAGAGTTTGACTAACACATCCTTAAACTCGCCATCCTAACTTTTTTCATTATATGCCCTTTTAACTGCACACCTTCATTTTGGAAAACCATTTTCATGACGTTGTATTTTACATGGAGGGAACCATAAGAACTTTTCTCCGAAGTTTGAAGGGAGTGGCTGATATTCCTCTTTTATCATACACCACGCACTGATGTAAAACAAAGACATGGAAATTTGAGAGGGAAATGGAAAGAAGGTTGGTTGGGCTTTACTCACATGACAGAATATAAAGTTGTCACATTCAATGGTTGGTCTAATTTTAAAGTTTTAATGCAATGAAATGAAAAAGACTCAAAGTGGATAGATAAATAGATAATTTGACATCAATATAACCAACAAATAGAGTAAAAGAGGTCCCTATCAAATCTTTTTCTAAACTATGTGAATTTACTTGCAATATGTCCATTAAACTTTTAGTTGTGGTTTGACTCATATTCACGTTAACTTTTAGTTATTATACAAGGTCCCTATCAAATCTTTTCCTAAACTATGTGAATGAAAAATGCTATTATAACTCACTTGCCTAGGACAATTCATGTATTGTATATAAGATACATAACTCATCCGGAAAAACCACATCTGCTAAGTGGATTTTGCTGTTGTGAGAGCAACATGTTAGAAGCTCGTATTTAAAATTTTTGGCTCTATAAAAGGCATAAGAATTTGGAGTGCATAGTTTATATATCGTAAAAAATATATTGATTCATGAAGAATTTTTCCTAATAACGATATTATTACAATGATATTACCTTTTATGATGTAAGTTCTCTTTTACTAATCACTCAATTAGCTATATTTAGTTTTTATGATATCAGAGGTTAGAATATTCTATTCTATTTAAAAAGTATTGACATAAATTTCTTAAAATATATATACACATAGTAGCAATAATATATATTTCAGTTCAACTCAAACATTGGCTTGAAGCCATTTAGAGTGAGGTCCTTTCTACGCTAGAATGGTGATATAATGATTACACAGTCTAAAAGTCAAAGAAGAAATTTCTACAAAGGAAAAATAATTTAATATGTTAAATTAAGAACTAATTTATAAATTATACATTAGCAGTGCATATAGCTATAAAAAGTAAGGTATATATCTTCATAAAAATTTTATAGTGAGTGACCAACTATAATCATCCTAATTTAAGCATAAATAATTATTATTTTAGTTATTAATTTGATACGCGTAACTATAGAATAAATCTCCAGCAAAAAATAGGAATTAAGATTGTGTTATGCTGTAGGTAAATAAATAAATGTTATTAGAGATCCCCTTTATATTAAATTAAAAAATAATAATTTAAATTATTAAGCACCAAATATTATCTCATGTGAGAAAGTAAGTAATCTATGGTCTATATACATTTATAGTTAATCAATTAAATGTTAAAATTATGATGACTACAGTTAAAATTATATGGCGGGTTCACATGCGGGTTTACATTAACTATAATTTATAAAAAATAGTACTTTAAAGTCAAAATCTTTTTAACCACTATATAGATTGTCTGAAATTTTTTACATATATAAACTATACTGTATAGGAATAGTAATACGCGCACTTAACTATGGTCTAATAATCTTAAGAATGATTTTTACTCTTCAATATCATCATTAATTGACGTATCTGTGCATTACACTGAAAACACAATAAAAATTTAGAAAACTACAAAACAAACACCCTCAAAAGTTTTAAAAATTATAAAAAATACCCTAAAAATTTATAATTTACAAATACACAAAACTATTAAACATTACATTGAAATCAAGGAATTACAGAAAATTATTGAAAATTTTCAAACTTTGGAGGGGTAATTTGAAATATACTAAACTTTAAGGGTGTTTTTTTATAAATTTCAAATTTAATAGATCTTCAACTAGTTATGTTCTTTTCAAAAAAGTTATGGGTAATATTTACCATGAAAAGTTTTTCCTAAACTTATACTTTTAAAAGGTGTATGATATTTTTTATAAATTTTTAATTTTCTAGGGGTTGTTAGTAATTTTGTATATTCATTTTAGTGTCTATAGGTTATAAATTCTCATGGTGTTTTTTGTAAATTATGAATTTTAGGGGCTTTGTATAATTTTTTAAACTTATAGGCATTTTCTACAGAATATAAATTGTTTATAGACTATTTATAATTTCAGTGCTTTCAATTTACTAATGAATTTGAAACTCTTAGGGTGTTTTTTGTAAATTTTAAATTTTAAAGGTTTGTTTGTAATTTTTGAAACTTTAATAGTATTTTCTATAAATTATAAATTATGTAGGGGATATTTATAATTCCTATATTTTCAATGTACTGTTAGGTTGGAAATTATCAGGATTTTTATAAATTTTATAATTTTGAGGGTTTTATTTTGCAATTTGTAAAAAGTTGAGTGTGTATTGTAAATTTCATAAATTTTTGACGGTTGTTTGTGTTTTTTGTAGGTTTTTAGTGTGTTTATAGGTTTAAAATTCTTAAGTTTTTTTTTATAAATTTGAATTTTAGGGGTGTTTTTGAAATTTTTAAAACTTACAAGATATTTTCTCCAAAGTCAAAATTTTTTTAGTTTCTAGCTAGCATATATTTTTCAGATTTCTCACTAAATTGAAATAAGTAAACTTTGTATTTTTCAAGATGCTTTAATAGAATTTTGAATTTGTAGGGGCATTGCACTTTAAAAACTTGGAGAATATTTTTTACAAAGTCCAAAAACTTTTAGGAGGTGCCTATCATATGTTTTACATTTCTTTGTGAACTGAAATAAGTAAAAGATTTGAATTATATAAAACATATCTCTTTTATCCAATAACATGGTAACTCTCATTATGAGTAGAATAAATCATTTAGTTACCAATTCAAAGAAGATAGGATAATTAAAATAGATTAGGATAACAATGTAATATTTAAAAAAGCTAATGATAATATTGACCATAGAAAGATTTTCCCAAAATTTCCTAACTCGTACTTTTAAAGGGAGTATGATTGTTGGGTTTAAGAATAATTTGTTATTGATATTTAGGGTTTAAGGATGATGTTAGAAGCTCACGGGTTTAGAAATAAATCATGGTCAAGCTCTGGGTTTATAAACAATGAAATTTTTAATGAAACAACCCTTAACATAGGCTCCATTTCATGTTACCATCATTGATTGACCAAATTTCAGAAAATCACCACTGTCCGCCACTATGTTAACATAAAACCACCAATACTCTTTTCCATCCAAAAGAAAAAAAAAATGCAGTTTAATGATTTCACCCCAACATAAGTTTAATTTTATTTAACTTTAAGGTCGAACTTAAGTGCCCAAATTATTTCACATTGTAATTTTGATGCCCCAAAGTTTTTTTTGGGGCTAAACACCACAAAGTCAATTCATTCTTTACTATAGTTATCAAAAAAATGCAGTAATTTTGATAACTCAAAGTTATTTCTCGCCCAAAAAACACCCCAAAGCTCAAAAGAATTTAACTTTGATACCCAAAATTAATTTTAATACCCCAAATTTAAATAAAAATGTAATACTGATGTCAAAAGTTCAATAAAATTTAAACCGTGTAAAGGTAAAATCGACGAACTATAATTTTTCAGATTGAAAATTGAATGAAAAAGGGCGTGAATTGTTATACGTTAATTGAATGATTGATTACGTTCAGATAATTATGAAGTACGCACGCTTAGCTTCAATTTGATCGTTCCCCTTTTCGGTGTATAAGGCCCAAGGCCCAATGAAAGCTAGTTAAAACTTTCGAAGGGCCAACCTTAGCTCAGTTAAGCAGCCACTGAAGGCCCATTTGGCCCAATTAGCTTTCGGATATTCTGCGCTCAATCTCCCATTTGATTCGGAAATAATTCGCGGAAAAGCAAGACCTAAAAATTGACAGAAGGGGAAGCGGACACTTTAGAAGAAGAACGAAGACTAAATTTGATTAAAAATCGATTTTTTTCGAAAAAAAATCGAAGCTTTTCTCTCATAGGCCGCGGCGATGTCAGATGGCCATCTCTTCAATAACATTCTCCTCGGCGGCCGCGGTGGAACTGTAATCCCTCCTCATTTCTCTGATTTTTTCCATTATTTTTTTCATTTTTGAATGAATTATTTGATCTAGTGCAGCTCTCTAAGTTTCGATCGATGTAAAAAATTGCTTTTTGAAGCTATTTGTTGGTATTAAGGGTTTATCAAGGTTGATGATTCTGAGTGGTTTCTTAGCTTAAAGTTTGAATCTAGTGATGACTTCACTCTTTGATTCTGTATACGAATTTGGAAACAGTGAAGCTTCAAACTGCATGCGTGAAATATTTTATATGAGAATTAGTGATGTTTAATGGGTACAGAAATGATATGAGCAGTGGGCGTGAAGCATTGTTATGAGCCGATGTGTCTGTATCTATTGGCAATGTTTTTTCGATGTTAATTTTAGCGCATTTAACTCGGTTGCTTTGTGGTGAAACTGCAGAACCCGGGTCAGTTGAGGGTGCATGCAGCAGGGATTGCATGGAAGAAGCAGGGAGGTGGGAAGGTGGTCGAGCTGAAGAAAGACGATATTGGTGGTGTGACATGGATGAAAGTTCCTAGGGCGTATCAGCTGGGAGTTAAGAGTCAAGATGGGTTGTTTTACAAATTCATCGGTTTCAGGGAGCAGGTGATGTTTTTCACCTTCTCCTCTTAACTTACCTGCTAACTCAAGGGATTTATCATGCACGGTTGTTATTTTCTTCTTCTAGCGATTAATGTGAAAATTAACCGAATGGGGACTCGTATTCTTATTCAATATGTTCTATGTGGTGATTTGCCAAATCTACCGAATTGAAGCTTTCAGTTGGGTTATACATATCCGTTGAGGATTGGTATTATATATCCATGTACCATATGAAAGATAAGTTAGCATGTCTTTTCTCTTGAGGATGGGTGTTGTTGTTGAAATGGAGCATTGCTAAATGACATGCGACTCACTTCCTGGCTTAAGGATTTTCTAGTGCAGTATAGTTCAAACTTCAAAATGTTTGTATTAGGTTGACTAATGGTATTTTCAAATCTCAAAAGATGTCACTTTTTATTTGAAATTATTAACTGTGCAAGTTATTATGGATAAGTTTGTATGGAACATTATTACGCCTGCATCTCACACATCCAATC